TAATCCTGTCCATGACGAACTCACCACAGCACAAAATGTGGAAATGGCTGATCAAGGTGTTGGAACCAGTCCACAGATAAATGATCAAGCATACCGTCAAGGAGACTTTGGAATTGATGAACATTTTGAACAAGATCAGCATAGAACGAAAACAAATGACCTCCTTTGATATTCAATCCCTGTTTACCAATGAACTAGTTCGTGAGGTCATAAAATCCATCTGTAATCATGTAGAATAGGAACAAATTCAACTGAGTCTGCCGGTGTCCGTCGTTGAGCGTTTGTTACTGCTATGCAAAACCGATGTATCTTTCCAACGAAATGTATACAGGTAAGTTGATGATGTCACTATGGACAAATCGCTAGGCACAACGTATTCTCAGATTTCTGCTTTCGGGACATTCAGTTAGGTCATCTAAGTCGTGTGACCCTATTCTGAGGGATCAGCAAGGGGGATGGGTGGGTTGGCGAACCCAAGAGTGATGCACAGCTTTGGTAGGACGCTTCTGGGCACATAGTTCAGGGGGCAAGTGTTTAATACAGATGGCTTCGGCTATGGACAGCGTACGTATTCTAACGTATTTGGACCGGTTGGAGGAGACCTGATAAATAATTCGGAATGCTTCACTTGGATTAACACGACGATCAGTGTCTGTCAAGTGAGTGAGAATTGCATTTGTGACAGATCCGGAATCCCGCTTGACTCAGTCAGCACGGATGGTGTTCTTTCATGACATGCTGTACGACCGATGTGGAGTGCATCACAAGCGCATCGGAACGAATAATCAATCATTGAAGCGGTGAACATCGATAGTGTATCTGTAACGGCATGATTATGAGTTATTCAAAACAACTGTTCGCCTGTTTGTGTTCTAAACACTCTATTTCCTTGATATTAGTATTGTAGACAAGTCACCAGTCGCAAGATTGCTAAAGTTTGCTGAACCGATTGCTATCGGTCGACGACCCCCGCCCTCTGTGTTAGCAAAAAGAACTTTATGTTAGTCTCTCTTTACCCTGGTGATATTGGTCTTTTTACCCCTCCTTCTTTTATGTTTTGTCTGTTTTAATGTAGTTTGCTTTACTTTTTTTACCATGCTTAATCCCTATACAAACATTGTATTTTCTACAGTATGCACTATGTTCAGATGCAGTGAAATCGTTTAGTATTGTAATATTGTCTTTTCTTTTGAAACTGCGGTTGCTACACTATATTGCCCACCAATTAAAATAGCCTAAAAGATACCAGCTGCTCATGGTTGCGTGAGACACTACTCACGTTTGCGAGCACTATAAATGACACGAGCCAGGGGATGTGGTTTGGGGGTTTCAAATAACGGTAAAACAATAACAAACAAGACCTCCTGGAGCGCATCAGTGTGCTCACTATTGTAAGTACAGAAAATGCACATCTACAGTTGGCCGGTTCCAGCAATTATCCTGTGTGCTTACTAAAATTATGATTGGTCTGTTTCGGATGAGAATTCTTGGTCTGTGTAACCTAACTCATCCATACTCGCGTCCTTCATCTCAAGTGAGTAACTGTCCTTAGTCCGATACTTTCTCACAAACATTGACGATCGCTCGATCATCAAAGCTTATTACAGTAACTACGACCAGTACGTGCGGTGTACTCCGAGTGCTGTATTCTAAATTACATGTATCATGGATCGAATAGCAACATTTGTTAGGAAACAAGGGTCACAGTTATCAAGGTGAACTTTGGTAACTGGGTTGTTCAGTATCGATGACCCAGAAAACACAATCAGTTAGTCATGTCCAACCTGTGGCTTGCACTTTCGTGGTTCAAAAACCAGAAGAATTAGATGAGGGAAAATCGCAGTTGCTTCATTTGAGAAAAAAAATTTATGAGCGGATTCGTGTTTTGTCAACAGGAACCATAAACAAAATATTAACAAATTATTTAACACTGCACCGATCAATTTTTCACAATCTCTCAGATATCAAACAGACTGAGCACAAAAGTGATGACCACCCTGGGTACGCTAAGATTGATCTCTTTATTTTTCACTTTTACTTCCTTTTATTGAACATACAAAGATATAATTTTTAGGAAGGAGGCCAATCAAAGGGCTGCCATTGAAAACTCAATGAGAGAAATCAGGCGGTGATGGTGGGATTTGAATTCACATCCACGGGGTTATAATTTGGCGGTGTTACCACCGGGCCACCACCGACCAACTCAACTAATAGTTTAGCAAAAATGTGAGATAGTACGTTGAGGATGAACAACATTTTTTTCTACTGGACTGGTTTACAAAAGCAGATACTAAAATGAATAAGCATAGCCACACGATCAGTCGGCCTCTGTCTGACTGGTGATCGGTGATCGGACTCTAGAATAGACAAGTACATTGCATCACATGATTTCAAGGTCGTTTATTTCACGGACCAATCTGTAGTGCATCATTCCTGTATGTGCGTTTACCTTGACTAACTTGATTGACTCAAAGAGACCCAATGTGTGTCATTCTGTCAAATTCATCCCGATACAGAATAGATTAACTGTGTCAACCACTATCACTAAGTTGTCCTCCGTTCAAGCGGCGGGACCTTCGAAATTTGGCCTTGCTACACTTGTGCTCAACGTTTACGTCACATATTAGATTTGATTGTTTAAATCAAGTTTCTTTCATGGCTTTTATGATTCCGCACGCCCCGGAATCTTGAAATAATTTGAAACTTATTGTGTTATCGCTCAAGAACAGGCAATCTTTATCAGTTCAGTCGTCAAGTTCAAAATACATGCAAAAGATACAGACCGTCTAGGTCAGGTTTTCTCAGAAAACACCGAGAAGGTTGGTAAGTGGCTTCACGTAACACAAAACCCCAGAAAATGTCTATCCCGGTTATTTGCTCATCAAACGTACGACCTACAAAGATTATCTTCACCGACGACGGAGGTCATATCTAGTAAATTTTGGCTGAAACTTGGCACTGTTTTCTTACTAAAGATCGACCCATCGTAGCATCAAAAACTTACACTGTGTCCTACTGGTACAACTTCTGATGTACAGACGTTCGCTGATTTACTTATATTCGAACTTTCTTACTGAACTAAACCCCCATTTTTATCCCTAGTGGTGATTTTAACTATGCCGATTCTCATTTGTCGACCTCACTTCCTATTCACAGTTTCGTAAACTTCTTCACAAGAGGAAAAGGGCCAGGTCGACCTTGCGTTTTCGAATAATTCTGACCTGTTTACTGTCCGCAGAGGATCTCCTCCGGTAAAATTCAAACCCTTTATCATTATTGTTTTATCAAAAGTCTTCTCAAAGAAACATCATGCTGCACTGACACGTAAAGTTGGCCGGAAGATTGTTCTTAGACTGTGAGACTCGATTCATCCGACATCACTGATAGAAATGGTCTCTCGTACAAATTTGACTCAGTTGTTT